ACCCGCTTAAAAAAACCAGAGAAACTCATTAAGTCGACTAAAAGTTGAACTTTTGCCAAAACTTGTTCCCATTTTGGTTAGCGGTATTGTTAAAGTCAGCTTGAATTTGTTTTTATCATGTTTTATTTGGCCAAGTTGGACTCTCTTTGGACTTATTTTTCAGAGCCTCTGCCTCTGATTTTTTTATTTATGGCCAACAAAATAAAAACTGCAGCCAAACACTGCACCCAAAGGCGGTGATGGTTTCGGCTTTGACAAATGCACAATTTATTTATTTATTTTATTTATTTAATGTCTTTCAAAGCATTTCTTAAACGATTTTTCTTTTGGTTTTCGCTTTGTGCTCTAAGAGGATATATAATCGCCTACATTCAATTCCCTGACTAACTGCAAGGCTTGGAAATGTGTTGGTGTGCTGCAAAGTTCTTCTTCTCAGCTTCGGCTGGATTTTCCCTTTATTTTTCTTATTTGGCCTGAAGAGGCGTAGCTTTATTTATTTTTTGTTGCTGAAGAGTTTCAGTTAAAGTGGTCATCTTTGAGGGGGATTTAGCTGGGCGATTTTTATCAGTGGAATTGAAAAGAAAAGCAATCTTAATTATGTCTTTTGGGGGAACAAAGTACTTGGATATTCTAAGATATGTCTTAAACACATCATTAGAAAGAAAACGTCTCAAGAGTAGATCTCAAAGCATGTTTATTTTGTCTTTTCGTAATTGTCTGTGATTAAATGCAAGTGTATGAATATTCTTCACCTTCTACAGCCCAGACCATTCTACAGTTAAACGTTATGGTATTGCTACAATTATATTTATACACCTTCGTAACCCCACCGCAAACAAAACCCTACCACTTTCCTTTTGAGATGCACAATCGACTGACACTTTTTCCCCTCACTGCCCGAAAGTATGCAACAGTGTTTGTCTTCTGTTCGCCATAGAATTACATGGACTCCGCCCTGTATTTCCGCTGATGGTAGAACGGCAGAACCATTTTGCAAATGACAAACAGGCCGGCTTACATATTGCTCTCCGCTCGGATGTAGGTCTGGGAAGTCTTAAGGATTTTCTATGGCACATTGCACATATCCGTATCACAGGCTAAAACAGTGTTTGTACGTCAAACGCAGTGACAAGGTTGCCATTTTTTCCACACACCCCCTGCCCCCACTTTTTTCCTCTTTACTCGCATCTCTCTATCATGTCTTATATGCAAACATTTGTTTTACCCTCTATCAAACGTTTCTCTTCAGCTACCCTTGCTTTCAGATATTTTTTTGCTACTGCTCACTTTGCTGTCAGACTCAGATGCCTTAAAGCTGCTTGCTACATGTCGCATGAAGACATCTTGGGTTCTATCAAGTCCCAAGTCTGCTGATACTTGTGGGAACAATTAGGAACTTCAACTCGTTGCATGCATTTTGGATCAGTGGGCAAAATTCCAACTCAAATTTCTATGCAAATAGAAGGGAAAGAGTCTTGTAATGCAGAAATTTATTTGCTTTCAGCAGCTGGGACTGGTGCCCAGGATTATCATCATCATCATCATAATCCAACAGAAAATGTTCCCTTGACTAATTGTTTTTCTAGCATTTCACGCAGACAACTTGTTACGAAAGTTTATGTCATAAGGCGGCAAAAGTTGTCCTTACTAATCAGGCAAGTCGGTGATAAGAACACGTACAGCAGACCAGAGAGAGAGAGGGAGGGAGAGAGAGGGGGGGCTATAAATTATAGCCGAGAGCTCGAGAAATCCTTATTAATCACAGCAAAAAGCAAAAAGCGATTTGGTATTCAGGTGTTCTTAACTGTTAACAGCTTTTGGCTTTTAGGGCAGCTTCAGTGAGCACGTGACGCTGGCCAAATAGAGGTGAGAGTCTGTCCTGGGCCCCGTCCTTCGGTATGTCCGTCTGTCCGTGTGTGAGTGTGGGTTAGCCACATATGCACTTTAGTTTTTGCGGATGTTTGCTGGAAGCTAAAAAAGGTTGAACAACTTGCAACAACAGCAGAAACTTTTTAATTCCCCGGCAAGAAGGAAAAAGTCACACATAAAAACAAGCGCAAAATTTTTTGGTAAAAAATTTCAATTAGTAAAAGATTCCAAAGTAAAATTTAATTAGAATGTTTTTGGAATATTTATGTGTGTGTGTGTGTGTTTGCTAATGGAGTTACGTACGCAACGACATTTATTTTCCATTCGATTCGATTGTATTTTCAGTTCCGATTCCGTTTGGTCTGCCATTTGAGCCCCTGTCCCCCATATGATGGCTAATTGCAAATGCACTTAGCACCTACATATGTATGTATGTACGAGTATAGAGGCAGATACGAATACAGAACACACACAATCGGATATATGCTCATTTGCATTTAGTACTTGGCTTGGCTCTCGCAATGCCTTGTGCAACATGGCCTACAACATTCGACTCTGATTGAACAACTTCGCTTGGCTCCAGAGCTCTACCCAGACAGAAATGGCAATCAAATGGCTCATGTGTTTCCACTGAAAGCCAATCCAATACCCAGCCAAGGTTATGCTTCCACTTTGTTTGCATTTCCTGCTTGCGAATAACTAAACGAAATTTAGCGAAGACTCTCCAACAATCGTTGCTCAAAGTTTTTTCTTTTCCTTTCTTTTTTGTTTTTTGTTTTGCCATCCATTTTTTGATTTAGTTCAGGGTAAACTTTCGAGTTTTGTTTGGATTTCGAATGCAGGGGGAGGCGTACTGCTATATTTTTATTGAAGCATAATAAATATTTAAGAAAACATTAAGAAAAGTTCTTTTGCCTAAGAAAAGGGAACAGAACTCTGGACCAGTGCAATGTTTCTGCACGGCAGTCTATAAGGAGCCATCAATTTTACATAATAGAGATTTAAGAGAGGTGGTTCCTCCATCATATTTTGATCTATAAGAGACAGAATCCTTGACTTCTGCAGACTTCTGTGATGATAATGCATATCACATTGCTAAAAACTGCTGTGGAAAATCCCCAATACAAATGAAACCGTAAAAATCTTACTATCATCTACCAAAAAGTATATACTACAGTACTATTATTTATTTTTTGGTGTGCGTCTCATTAAGATCTCAAGTGTTTTGCGGCTTTTGTGGCTGTGGCTTGCAACCGAAATAAATTGCCCCAGCATTACCGCATTAATCGTGCCGTGCACTTGTGCTCCTTTCCGCCGGGACTAACTGCCAACATATGTAAATTTATGACTCACTTTTTGCTGTCGTACAAACTAAGTTAGCTAAATGGCTTTTGTTGGGATGAAGTGGCCATCAAACCATTTAAAAAGGACCTGCTGGAGCTTCTCTGAGATGTAATCTCAAAGGAACTAAAATTTTTGAAACAATGCAATTCCAAGGAGAATGATTTATGAGCCCAAGTAATGTTAAGTGATGCGTATTTTTTCAGAAATGCACTTTAAAGTTGCACTCGTTTTCTTTTTAGTTTCTTTTAAAGTTCAACTAACGAGAAAAATATAGTAATTTTGGAGGCAGGTCACATTTTAATTGTTGTTGCAGGCTGCTGATGCAGCTGTTTTTTTTTATATATATATGGCCCCTGAAAGCTGCTGAGGCGCCTTGCTCCGGACGTGTGCCAAGGAAGAAATAAGCCTGAAATGGCAGCTAAGAGCGGAATAGACGGCGACGTTGTTTGCATGGCAATGAGTAACGCAGCCAAACGTTTTTGTTTTTTTGTTTTTCACTGAGTGAAGATGCTTTAAAGAAGGTATTGAGATCATATTGTTTGACATTATGACATCAGCCATAGTTTGTAAGTGAAATTTTAAGTGCATGATAATTGAAAGAAGCCAGGAAAATCCACTGAAAAAGTCCCTATTTTTCACATAGAACATATCTTTTATCCCCACATTATTTCAAGGAGAATTCCTGAGTAATTCCTTTCGAAATCTTTTGCAACAATTAATTTTTAAATACCATAAGTAAAAACTGACATGAAATGCTATGAGAATCAAATAAATATTGTGCGAAATTGCATCAGAAAAAATCTCCCTCTTGCAGCCTTTATCCCATTGTGTCCACACATCCACCGATCATTTATCAAAATCGCAGCTTTTCCTTGTCAAAGTTGGATCCAATCAAGGAATTGCTTGGGGGATGCGGATGCCACATGCAGCGAATTATTCATTATTTTTCTTGTATTCTGGATTCTGCATCCAGCATTTTGTATTTGCAATTTGTATTGTTCTATAAATCCATCAATCATTACATTACACTTGGGCACTTTAATTTCCACTTGGATTCGTGACAACTTAAGTTTCTCCACACTTTCACTTAATTCCACTTTTCCGCTGCTTTTCCGCCTTGGCTGTTGTTCACTTAACGGTTTATCACCGGCTTCTGGCGCCATTTCATCGGCGGAACGGGAACCCGAGTGAGTAGGGTCCTCGTTTCGATATCGATATCGATATGCAACCGGCATTTTTGGCACGCCACACAGCTGTGGCAAGCTGCACGTGGCATCGTCATAAAGCTCTTGTCAGTGGGCTGGTCCTAGCGGCGTGTGGAGTGGGTTTGTTTATGTTTTAGCTTGGGCCGAGAGACGGTAGAAAAGTTTTGAGGCGAAGACAATGCTTTATTTCAAAGAATCAAAGGATTGCTGTTTTCCGATTGAACAGACTTTGCTTGCTGTAAGACATTCTATAACTAAATATTTAATACCAGACAAACATACCTGAGAAAAACTGCTGAACAAAGTCTAAATCAGATAAAAACCTGATTTTAATTGTATATAAATTTCCCATTTATGCTTATATTAAACTAACAAGTATACGCAATGGTAGCCACTCCTGCAGGCCTTTCAAAGCTTGCAAAAATGAAGCATATTTTTTGGTGGCGTTTCTCGCTGCACTCGCATTGGTTGCGGTCTCGGCTAAGCCGATTCGTTGGTGAAACTTTTAACAGAATTCTGTTAGCAGCGCTAACACTAACATTACAGATGTCTGAAGATAACATAGAAACTCTCTATTGTTTTTTACTCACTTGAATGTTTGTTGCCAATTTCCCGGCGCATTTCCTCAGTGCGATTTTTCAAATTGGGCTCTAGTGGAAACTGTGCGAATGTCATGTTCTCGTTGCGCATCTGCTTGCCCAGGGATTTCATCATGAGGAAACAGGTGTGCATCCCAGCCACACTCCGCTGGCCATCGCGTTCGTAGTAGAAGATGGAATGGGACCAGTTGTGGCTGTGAAAAGGTGTGAAATTAAAGAGAAAATGAGTCACCGGCAGCTTTAAAGGATGAATGTATATACGAGTATGTCTATTGATATCCCTGTTGGTTTTGGAACTTACCGCTTCATTACATTTATAGTCAACTCAGAGATGGTCTCAAAGCTGACCATTCCAGTACGCAGTAGCATATAGAACTCGTCGTTGCAATCGGTTTTCTTCTGCTCAAAGTCATAAGTAGATCCCCCCACAGAGATCAGAGGTGTTCCCTGGCTGTTGAAATATTTGGTAATTCGGCTGACAGCAGCTGCAAAAGATCAACGGTTCAGATTAGCCAAAGCTCAAGTTAACAATAAGATGTTGTCTCACCCAAGGAGTAGTCACAAACGGGGCCAAAGATCACCTGCGCACACTGTTTGATGATTCCATCCATGGCCTTGATCACGCCCAGCGAGGCATCGCACTTGGTGTCGTGGGCCAGCCACTCAAAGTCAATGTGCGGGGGAATCAGTGCCTTGGAGCGTATCTGCTGCTCGGCCACCTTTAAAATGGGCAGCACTCGCGGCAATGAGGCCTGGTACATGTTGTCATCCGGCAGCAGGACCAAAGCGCGAATAGTGCAATTTTTCCCACTGGCATCGCAAATGGATTCACAGTCACGGGCCGGCTCAACCCGGCACTCGGCCTGACAACTCTCCAGGTTGAGGCAGAGGCAGAGCAGACCCAGGAGTAGGATGAGCTGGAGCCTCCCCATTGGGATATTGTTTGCTCCTATCATGGGAAGGACTGTGGCGGGGACTCCAATCAAATCAAATGATTTGCAACTCTGCTGCTCGTCCGCTGTGTCATGTTGTAATCCGCATTGCCTATGAGCCGCCGTGATTTGGCTCATTTGCATATCCCCTTCTCGCTTTCTGTTAGTTTGCACTGGAATTGTGGTTTCCTTCTACAATTTCTCATTCAACTTCACTCAGTCTGTCAATCCTTCTCTCTGCTTGCTGGAGGACTCTTGTGACAGCCGGCGGCTAATTAAGTTGCTTTGATTGTGCGCATAATTGAACTGAAGTTTTGCCGCCGCATGTTGCTCCTCTCTGGGGCTTCAGAATTTGTGGGATGTTGAGGGTGCTACTGCTGCGGCTCCCGTTGGTGTGAATGAAGTCATTGAAGTCATTAACAGTGGCGCCTCCTCTGCGGGGATATATGCATAAATCATTAAAGTTTTAATAGGTTGCCCTCGAGGCAAGAGTGCGCTATAATGGATGTTGGCCTGGCGTATACCGAAAACTAGTTTAAAGGGGAACTTTTGATGATATTATGAGATTTTGATTATTATTTATGGGGGGCGGGGGGTCTTTAGACACAGAGAAAATAATAGGAAGCATAAAGAGAATTTTCCGATTAAGAACAAAAAATACAAATTTCCAAAACCCATTCCAAACAGTACATATCTTTTCCTTAATGGAATACATAAATGAATAGCCGCGTTTTACTTTTTGTCACTAATTTCTAATCATTTGAACTTTCTTCAACAGGTAATTCCATAATTAAATATCATAAAATCCAACCATTAGCAATGCCTGGAAGATCCCCAGTCATAAAAATCAATGTCTTTGCCCATCATAAATATCTTTATTTCCCATTGCAGCCGTCACATTCTTGAGTAAACAAAACAGTTGATTGATAGCAAAGAAATAACAATCTTTATCTTCCATTGAAGTGCAGTTTGTGACTCCCGAGAGTCACGAAGTAAGGACATTTCTCCGGCATGCCCTTATACATAGCATATATATGTACATGTTGGTAATATATGATCCCAATACCCCATAAACTGTTCACTTTGGCCTTTAACAACACGATTTCGGGTTCAATGAGTTGGGGGTTGCTGGTGTTTTCTGAATTGATTCCCCTGCTGATTCATCGCTTCTGATGTCCATAATTATTTGCTCGATTTCGATTGAAGTTGCTGCATCAGATAATGGACACGGGGTCTTGTGCTATTGTTTATGCCAATTTCCATGGAATTGTTTTGTGGACATTGCATGTGTGTCCCCCGATAAGGCTGCCATCAAGGGAATGTGTCGAATCGTAACGCATTCACGGAAATCTCATACAAATTGGCCCACTCGACTGGCTTAAACTTCAAAGCGTCACAGCAATCTATTGTTTAGCGAAACGTCATGAAGGTAGGAAACATCTAACCGAAAAAAAAAAACAGAACCATCCGGCAGCAGCAGCAACAACAAAAACGTGTCAAATGGTAGCGAACATGCTGCCAGATCTAGTTTGTGGTTCAGGCGATGCCTAATCTTATCTAACGAAAAGCAGTAAACTCATGATTGCTGTGTATCGTCAAGAGTGGTTTCACTTAGTCATGCGGTACCCAGAGTCAGTTCTAAGAGTATCTCTGACCCCTTGAATGATCTAATTTGATTAGTTGATCGAATGGACTTTGAAATGGAACACACATTTGAAGTGATACAGGTAAAACGTTTAATTATAGGATTACCCTCTAATTTTTGATTGAATATTTAAAATAATTAATCAAAATGGAGGGATCACATGAACTTTATTAAGTATTTATATAAATAGGAATAATATTCATTGATTTTCGTAAAGCTTATTCAGAAAGAAGAGTATTCAACAGGACTACAAAATAATCAAAAATGGAAAAAGGTATCCAAAGTTCGGTCTGATACCATTCCCTTTTCTTTAATAACATCCACTATGGAGTCCGGGTCATACTTTTGGGCACCACCAGCCAGTATTTCCCTTTGGGGCCAGCACAGGGCACTTTATCTGCTGTCCAACTGTCCACAGAAATCGCCGTGGGCCTGAACGAACTTGAGATTGCGTATACGCAGCTTGTTGCGGAAAACCCCAAGCACAAATTCGAGAGTACTGGCTGTTGTTGATGATGATGATGATGGAACGGGGAACCCTGCGTATCTCTGAGCAAACACCAAGAAACTGCTGTATAACATTTCTTTTGGTGGGGGGCAATCGGAACTGTCAGCAATTAATAAGAATTCATCACCAAAACCGCTGACACTCGACACGAACTGTGACAATGCAGAAAATGGTGAAATATTAATGATGTACAAAAAAACAAAAAAAAAAAACACTCTGGGTCATGTGCCTGCTGCCGACTGCCTGCTAGTAACCTGCCGATATCAGCAGGTGGCAGGAAGAAGAGAACTAATTTCATTTTGCGAAAACCAGAAGCACAAGCAGAAGCAGAACATCAATCATACTGGAGGCACACACTATTTGCATTGATAGAAGCACAGAAATAGAACTGGAAGTACTATGAGTAGCAAACAAATACTCGTATTCCACAGTGGCATTCAAGGTGCCGACGCGACGAGAGTGTGAAAATCAAAATAATTTTTTAGCAAATTGGCATGGACATCATCGAGGCATTTCAGCCGGCTCTTATCAGTTTCAGGCTCATTCTTCGGCCGAACGTCAGTTTATTTTTAGGCCCTGAGCACTCTTAGCCCCCTAAATGATTATGATCGCCTGAGAGACCGACGGCCGAACGACTGACAGAGCCCTGAAATCGCAGAAATCGCAGAAATCGCAAAAATCGCAAAAATCGCCGAGCTGTGCGAATCAATCATGTTCGGCGGCATTGCTGAACATGTTGCCACTCACTCAGAGCACCTCTGATTGGCCCCGGACCCGGAGCCTGACCATAAGCCCATCGAGCATGCTAAGCCCCAGCACTCAGACACACATGGACACAGTCGTCGGCGATTCACGGCTGTACTAGAGTATTACAATGTTCGGTTTTTGGTCGTGCTTTTATCAGGCACTCAACTTGTAAAACAAACACAATAAAATCTATGAGATTTGGGGAGTTGTCTGTCAGGGGAATTCCACGGTTTTGCATGTCGAATACATCGCTTGTCTGGAATTATATCAAATGAACCCCCAAAAATATAATTCCTATCACTGAACCAAAAAACCTTGTTGACCAAGATATTGTAGCACAAGAGATTTCCAGAGAATACTCATAAAGAGGTTCATGAACCATACTATCGCTCCTCTTTTCCAGTTTTCTAATCAACGCCATTTCTATTTATAACTGTAGTTACCCAATCCCAATGCCAATAAGTTTTATAACATTATTTATATAAAAACTCAAGTAGAACAATCTATTAGATGTCCGACACTTCAAACCATAAAAAGCACTCCAGCCCAGCAAATGCAATATCAATCAATTTATCGACTATATTTTTTATGAAGAGAATAGAACCTTTTGGGATCGAAGAGTCAAAAGACAAACCGTCTACGATTAGGCCTTTTGCAGTCTATTTATAGTAAATTGTTTATTTTGAATGTGCAATCAACCGCCGGACTCCCGACCGCCTGCCCTGTGCCTCGATAAGATTACGGAAAACTTGGCAATATACAGATATATACGATATATACGGGGAAGTGGGGAAGCCATATGGGAGATATCTGTTACCAAGTTTCCAAGCCAAAATTATAATATCTTTGAACTCCAATGTCGGGTGCCTGTAACCAGGCGAGTTAATTTTGGTTTATGAATCGGTTTTAGATCTCTTCGATTTGCATGAAACTTAAATATCCATTTGTCATTTGCGGGAATTTGCCCGTGCTCTTATTAATTATGAATTTTAAATGCCTGCATAATTTCATTTAAATTTAGACAGCCATGAAAAACCGCAATGGTAAAAGTAAGCACTTAATGCCTGTCACACGTGTGCGTTCTACTGTCTAGACAACGGGGGAAAAGCAAAGTTTCAACTTTATCCTTCATCAGGTCATAGCCAAGGGATTTTTGTGCCTTTAGTACTGGGTAAACAGCCTCTGAGGTTACCCCCAGAGAACATGCGGTGTCATTTATGGCACGCCTGTTAAATTCCACGAAACATGGCCAGCAGCAGGCGACCAACGAACCTTAATTAAGTCCCCCGCTTAAACGGATTTAATTAATTTTTGTTCTGTTAAAGTGCCAGGAAAGAAATGGGGGAATTTGAAATAAAGCGATTACAAGGATTTATGTGAAACAATTCAATTGAAATGTGTGAAAATGTTCTCCAATTGGAAAAGGAGAGTTTTTTCTGAAAGAAAAAGACAGTGGTTTTTTTCATAATGTGATGGCCTTCCTCTCAGGATCCTAGAAAAACTACAATTTAAAATCCACTTATGCATTTAATCTCTACATAATCTTCTGTTGAAAGGAAGTTTGCACATTTTTTCCGCGCGTGAACAAATCCCCAACTAGATTTAATTAAACACAAAAAAAGACGGAAACAAATCCACAAAAAGACCAGACATTTTATGACCTTGACGTTTTATGGTTTGTTTTCCTCTCTCGTTGGAATATTGTACCGCTCTCGCGGCTAACTCAATTGACTTGGAAAAGTTTTCTTTTTGCACCCACATATCGTAGAAAACAGTTTGAAAAGTTAGTCCACAGCAGCAACCCATTAACTGGGCGACCAAGCCACAAGGCGGGAACAAAAACTATAATCTCTAAAATATCACCAGCTTAAAGCAGCTCAAACTGAAAGTTTATTTTATTTTGCTGGGCCAACCCTTTTCTACAGAACTTGCTCATATTTGTTTGGGTATTGGTTTACCAATTGATTAATTTGTATATTTATACAATCACGTGGCTCTAGGCATGTCCGGCACAAGGGTGTGACCATTGGTCAGGCTCTTTCGCAAAATTATGTATACGCAGTGTGGCCTTTGGCCTGGCATATGCTGCATACTTCAGTGCGTCGTCAACGGATGTCACTTTCACTTAGAAGTGGTTGGCAAATAGAGCTTAAACTTTATGCTAAGCATGGCTAAAGAAGTCAAAGAACAAGCGGAAGTCTGTTCGAAGCAGCCACAAAAATGTCCACTGAAAATGGAATTCGATAATTGACAACAGGAAAATTAAATTTTGGTCGTGCAATGGTCACAATAACAATCGGACGAAATTAATGTAGTGCAGACTTTATTTTCTGATTTTAATTTTAAATGGGAAAAGGTCATGACAATTTTTTTATTAAATAATGCACTTGTAGAAGTTATAGAAGGGATTTAAAAAGAATTGTGGCATGGACGTGACTTTAGATTTAAAAGAGACTTTCTTAAGGGCATCTTAGGTTGTTGCATTACCCATTATAATATATATAAAATGATATATTTTCCCTAGTGCCAAGCCCTTCTGTTGACTTTTATTGCCCTGTGGAAAGAAATCTAATTTGATGCTGGCATACGAGTACTTTTATCCGCACATAAATCCTTAGCCAGCTAGCATAAAAAGAAAGCGCTTCAATGATTTATGCAAATTCAATGAAAACACAATGCGGCGTATGAGTAATATGCGTGACAGCCACAAAGTCAAGAGCGGGTTGTAGCGGTATTTTACAAATTCCGGCAAGAGTCTAGAGTACGTATCCTAGTCTATTCCCTCATCTATAGTGAAATTTGCATTTCGCTATATATTTAATTTTACCAACATAGTTTCCAATATTTTCCCTAGGGCAAAATGTTATTTTGCAATCATTTACTTTTATCCCAGACGGATGCAGGGAGGACGAGGGCAGCTGAAAGTCGATTGAAAGTGTGAGAGAGTGAATTTACATAAAATGCGGCATAGGGGCGTGTCTAAGGAGCAAGAGTGAGCAAGAGTATCCTGTCAATGACATGCCAACCATGGAATGTTTTCGGACCAGAAATAGAGATGGATGAGAGAAGTATCTTACCTACGCTTTTGTCTGCCAAAATATTTAAACCTTTGACAGATATCAATGCAAATTGCTTGTGCAGTTTTTCCCTCAAAGAAATTGTATATTATTTACTGAACTATTTGTGCTTATAAAGATTCTCCTTTTAGCAGACTTATTTAGAGGTTGCTTGGATGTTTCACTATTTAAAATGTATGTTGTTTGAAGTTTATTGGGTAATATTAAGTTTTACTTTAATAACTTTTTTGGATTATACTTTTATTTTAGAAATATCTTTTTACAACTATTTCATTCTTTTATGGGAAATATTTTTCCTGTTGTTTTCCTTCAGAACTTTTGGCATTCACTTTCCATATTTATGGCTTTTCAGAATTTGACAGCGGCAAACAAATTTTTCTTTCTTTTGTTTAAACAAAACCGCACCACAACAGCAGTCGCACGATTTCAGAGTCAAAAGAATATATATTTTCACGCAATCGGCCGCATTAAAAAACGTACAAAATAAATCGCGCGCGATTTATTCGCATCGAATAAGAATTTCTTTTGTCGCCCCGCTTCAGTGCGCGCCCGTTGTCGAAATTGAACTGAAATTCGCGGTCGCTTGGGTAAACTTTGTTCACTTTGTTATTTTTCCGCTCTTCATTATTGGCCAAACTATTGAAAAGCTCGGCCGGAGACCTTTTTGTGGAACATTTCACCAATGCAGCACGCACACAAAGATACAGATACAGATACAACAACTCAACAATGCTCCATGTTAACTGATAAGAAAGCCTGCTGATAGCAGCTGACCTTAACAGTGGGTTGACTGTTAGGCCACTTCTGGGTCTGTTAACTGCAGCTGATGTCAGATGCCTGATAGGTGGGGGCTATAGTGTGGGCCAAGCAACGCCCCCAATTAACGCTCTAACAATGTCTCTAAAGGTGTGAAAATAATAGATAGTGTGGGTATAAAAAAGAGTCTATAAAGCATGAGGAATGGTGTATATAAAAGAAAAGACAGTGTAAAGAAAACAAAGAGACTACTTTCTAGTTAAGGATAAAGTAATTTGTTCCTAAATGAGATTTATATTGTCCTATGGCGAAAACCCTTTTCCTAGATCCAACCCATTATTCTAGTTTCTAGCTTGGACCTGTTCTTGGTCCTTTGTTCTTGCTTGTAATTTTCCACCACTTGACGCTTTTTCTTGTACCCATTACTCGTTGAACACTAGGGTACAATCAGTTTGTGTGAGGGATGTGCAAGAAGGATGTGTTTCTGGTATCTCACACATGGTTCATTAGGGAATAGCATCTTATATCCATGTCTGCTCTTAGCAAATAGACTTATCTGATGCTCTCTCTTCCTTAGACTAGGGTATCCTATTGTAGGGTATCCTTAAGCGCAATGTACCACAATAGCACTCAAACATATTTTCACTTGCTAATGCTTCTGTTGGACGCACACCGCGTACACGCAATGTCATTATGGCCTCATCGCTCATACGGCACAGCATTGTGTGCCAGAGCACGCATGTTGGCTGAAAACGGTTCCTGGTCCGCTCTCTGGCTGCCTCCCACCCCCACTCTATGATCCTCTGGGAGTGTAGAATGCACAAAAATGAATGGCATTTTAAGCAGCAGCAGCCGCGGCCGTTTCAACGATGCTCGCAATTGTTGTTTGCCCAACAGGAAACTTTTTGCGTTCTCATAAGTGGGTGGGCATTGTGGGTAGTGGATGGCGGGTGGCTGGTTGCGGGGAGGAAACAGGAAATGGTTTTCAAGTGCGCTTAAATGCTTTTCCTGTTGTCCTCCTTATGACTGAATGAGCAATTATTGTATAATTGTAATTTTATGTGCATTTTTTTACAAAAGGAGAAGAAAATGAGGAATGAAATGTAGCTGGGGATAGGGATTGGATATCAAATGAAGGCTGATGTTAAATTATTTGCATAATCTGATTATGATTCGGAGATTCCTTAATTTGGACAAGTTGTACGTTGTTCATACGTTTATTTAATTATAATATCTCTTGTGATCAAGCGCTTAAGGCTGACTGAATGGGTTAAAGCTTTACAGAGCAATGTGAGTGAGTGTTTTGAGGGTATTCGTGAGTGTTTACGTGTGTGTGTATGTGTGTGATTCTACGCAGACATATATATAAGTATTGAAAGTGTATTTGGTTTTGGACATTCGCAATCATGAATACAAAATGAGAATAACTAACAATTATCATTTACTTAAAACTACATAAGCTGTGCATGCGTGTGTTCTTGTGTGTGTGTGTGTGTGTGTGGCAGGTGCCGCGTGCCACCATCTGTTGCAACCACTGTCATCATCGTCGTCGTCGTCGTCGTCTACTGGGCGGCATTGCCATCATCATCGATCGCCTTGAAGATAATGCCATAGATATGATCCACGAGCTTGGCCCACGTGGCCGCTTGGCTCTCGTCCAGACTGCAGGCTGCGGTAAGCACTTCCAGAATCACGCCTTTCAGTTGCTAAAATATAGATAAAGGCTATCAAGGATCGTAAATACGAATACAGTGACATGTAGATCTTTTACATTGTACGATTCCTTGGATATGGTACGGGGTATATGACTGACGGCTATCTTGGTCCAGATCTCTTCCAGCTTCTCCACATCCCCCTCCTCACCCAGGACCCGGATGGAATCGTCAAAGACGCGTATGATTCGGCCAGCATGTGCGCGAAAACGAGAATTTCCCTATAAAATAGACAAAAATATTACCATCTTGAGGGAGTACCATCCTGGGGAGTACCAAAACTTACACTTAGATCCTCCAGTGGCACATCGCGGAAGGGGAACTTCTCCAAGTTGGACGGAAAACGGGTGAAGAACTCCTGCAGTATCGCTGCACCCGAATCTGTGGGTGTTGCCACGGGTATCTCCCAGGTCTTTTTGATCACTTGCACCTCATCGCTGTTCATGTTTCTGCTCCGTTTTGCTCAGTGCACGTGGGCTCTTTCTAACTATCTCTCTATGCCTCTCTCTTTCAGGTGATTGCCTCTCTCTTTTGTTGGCTCTTAAGCTGAAAATTGAGTGAGAGAAAAATATAATAAAATCAATTACCATCATCTCTCTTAGCATCTCTCTCGCTTTCTCTCAAACATGAAATCAAAACAACAAACAGTGACTTATATAAATATGTGCACAGCACGTGCTAAAAGTCAATGCCTTCGCCATGTCACGGCAACAACAGCAACATCACGGGCATCAGCATCATTATTTCCCAGCACAAATTAACGTCTGTCAGTCTGAAGCAGAAGCCCAGTCCCAGGCTCAGCCCCAACCCCCTACAACGCCTCTGCCCAAAACCCCCTTTCAGCTTCCAACAACAACAACATCATCATCATCATCAAAGAAGAGGATTAGAGATGACAACGTGAGTTGGGCCCAGTTGATTAAAAGAGATTGTTTATGCGATAGGAGGGGATTCAATAGTCAAAATGGATAGTATTTCATACTAAAAACAAAGAAATAAAACATAAATCAATCATAAGTTTCCACAAGTATATAAGCTCTTAAAACCATCCTCCTTTTTCTATAGGAAACCTCACTTAAATATCGTTTTATGTAATGCTCGCCACATCTCTAATTACCTTTTGGCAAAGGCATGGTCTCTGCTCTCGAGTTCATTAGCTGACCCCCTACTAGTTCCCTTCCCTGCCCTGGCCTGCCGCTACCGTGCCTTGCCCCAGTCTGCCCTCAGCTGACCTCCCCTGCCTGCCACTGCCACTTGGCTGTGTGGCACCCATCACCGTGGATACTTTGTGGCTGGCACTCGTTTACAAAAAATTATCATACCCCTTTCGCTGTGCCCCCCACTCGAGTGAGATGTGTGAGAGGTGAGAGTGGGAAGGGTATGACAGTGGGAGTGAATTTCTCGATGCGGAAAACGGAAATGTAAACCGCAAGAGAGCAAAGAAATGCGAACAAATATGCGACCAGGCGGGCGGTCGGTCACTCCCATTAGATATGATTATTGAGTGAAATTATTTAGAAAAGAAAATATTTTTCGAAAATCCGTACCGTATTTTGGCAAATGGAAATGAAACAGAAGGCAAAACAAATCTGGATTCCCACTCATTTCCATGCAAATCGCAAATCAATCTAGGAGAAAGGCAAAAATATATTTATGAGGAGCGGAGCGCACGGGAAAATTCACATTTAACAAACGGAATTTTGATGAATAATAAATAGAGATGAGTTTTCCCTCACTCTCGTGTTGTTATTGTTGTTCTTGCTGCTGTTGTTGTGGTTCCATGGCTTAGCTTTTCCGCTTTTCTTTAATGACAGAAACACTTAGAGTAGTATCCTAAAGGCATGTCAGGCGGCCCGAGGAAAGTTGTTTTAAAAAGTAAACTGAAAAGTTTATTAAAAATTTACAAACTGAAGGAGGGACATAGGGAGGGATAGATAGAGTCAGCGAAGGGAAAAGCTAGAGAAAGAGAGGGGAAAATTGAGAGAGAAGAGTATAATAAACAGGCAGAAAAGAACAGGAAAATGGACTCAAGTGCAGCCGCAGCAGGTGGCCGACATCGTATTGTTGCTTGGAAAAGCCAACAAGGGGGGGGAGAGGGTGAAAATGTGGGAGAAGAGTGGGCTTGAGGAGCTGATGGTGGAAAGTGGAGGTGCAGCTGAGGAAAGGGTGGAGGTGGAGGCAAAAAGATAGTACTATAAAAAATTGTGCCATCTCTCAGAGTAACCTTGTCTACAAGACCCCCTTTGGGGCACAAATACACACTCACACACTCATACTCTTACAGAGAGATGACTGCGTATGTGAGAGGGGCACATATGTCTTTCAGTGTGTGTGTGTTTTGTAATATCCTTCATGCCCAAATGGCCTGTGGCTTTTGCGGTTGTACTAGCTCTGAAGGGGCAGGCAGGCAAGAGCAGGAGGCCTGTAAGTGTAAGTGTATAAGTGCTGGCCACTCTCTCTTCCCCCACTCTCTCTCTCTATCGCTTTCGCTGTGTGTGTGTGTGTGTGTGTCGGCTGCAGTCAAGAGTGAAAAAAGGCAGCAACAAATCAAGCGTTGCCTTCTGTATCTGAGTGTGTGTGTGTGTGTGCGTGTATGCAGAGGTATGTGTGTGTAAGGACATTGAGCGCTTAATTAAATTAAGGCAAACTTGATGGACAGCTACTAGACAGACAGCCCGAGTGGGGTTGGCTGGCAGGCAGTTGAGGCAGGTGTAGAGAGATGTTGTGGCAGCTGTAGAAGGGGGTGTGGCAGCTGAAGGGGGGGATGGGGGCACAGGTAGGTACAGGTGTTGCTAAAGTGCGGCTCTAGCCTTGTGTATTGGAATGTAGCTGTGTGTGTGTCTGTCTGCCTGTGTGATGCTGCCACTCAAGTGTCGCCATGGATTTGGTTGCAATTCCCTCACTACTACTGCCTCTGGCTGCCTCTCTCTCTCTATTCATCTGGGTATTTATTTTATTTTACTTTCGAAAAACAACATTCTGTCGGTTGCCAAGTCCCTGCATGAGTTCGACCTGAGAGCCATTGAAATATGACATCCTCGGGCATCGAATATTTTCAACAAAATATTTCTAGAAAACAACTCGGAAACAAGTTGAACAAAATTTAGTTGGAAATTTAAAACTTTGACGCCCAAGGGGGAGCAGGATACCCTAGAGGCGTGCCCAGGTAATCGACGATATTGGATATTTTAAATACTGGCGAATAAACACACGCGTGATATGTTTACTGATTTAAGCGGTGTTGATATTTGTTTAAACAATAAACATTACCCTTTCCCCCGGCAAGCATCCTCTGCCTGTGGAACCCGCGGAGACTTTCACTCTTATTGAAACAGATTTATGCGTAAATTAAGTCAACTTTCATACAACAAACATTCATTTAAATAAATAAACGCATGCATTAAAAAAGGCTTTTAAATTCCGCTTAAAGCAAAAAGCTGAGTGCTCGACCCTTGCCCATACACAGCTGTACACACAGACACACATACACAGTAGGACAGCCATATGCTCATCACAGACATTAAGGATAATGACTACCTCAACAACAGCAACAACAACGGCGGTAATACCAACAATAAAAAAAAATCTCCTGCTTTTGTTAGAGACGACACTTGTTCGCAAGGACATCACAGAAATCCATAAATTTAAAGACCGCTTTCGTGCAGGTTATAAAAAACCTGTGAGTCGTTCATACATATGTTATATATTTAATTTAACTTTAAATATTTTTTAAAATTTGATTGAAGAGAAGATATGAAACGATCGTTTGCCTTAATATGAGTATGATGAGATATGGTTTTCCATTTTACTGTCTTCCACTAAATGAAGAGCAGATCTTGACTATATTGTCCAAAAAGTTTATACGATCACAGATATTGAAAGAAGAAGAGTTCTGCGAGAGAGTTTAATATTCCGACCAAAATGATAATACCTCCAAAGCAACAAAACCTCTATACGAATAATAATGTATAGTTTGCCCAATGAACGAGTATCATCAGCTGTTTGGCCTGTTGAGCGCTCTGGATTCTAAAGATTATTTACAGTTGGTTCTGTGGTCTTCCTTTTATTCACCCAATTCTTTCATAATTCCACAATCGCAATCCACTATCGTTTTCTATCGTTGGCTCTTTCTCTTGTATTCTTGTTTGTGCAGTTGCAGCTTTGGCTTTATTTGTTTATAATTTTTGTTTTTATTTGCAAAACTTGATTGGCTTTTTGTTGAGCCGTTTTCCGTGATTATTCCCGTGTCCGTTCCCGTTTATTCTGGCTCCGACCGAATAGCGGATACCGGAGAGAGAGGACCGCACGATTTGCTTTCAAAAAGAATACTGAGCGCGGGCTCCCCGTGTATTACTGCTCTCTGCCGGCACCAGTGCACGTTTTAGTGCGCGCCAAAACTGTACTGAGCGAAAGCTGGCCCCAAGAGAGCCGCACAGAGAGAGAGAGCAGTTACAGTGGCGTGTTTGCAGGGGGATCTAAGGTGTGCGACACCTGGCCAAACAATTTGTATACCGTGCATGCACAACATTAACTTATTGGGACCGTCCCTATATGGCAGGGTATTTAATGGCACAGGCCTAAGCGGACTAAAAGTGGAGGGTATGCCCACCAGCCGCACAAAACGGAGTCAAGGGCCACCTGTGGACAGCAGAGCAGGCCAACGTTGGCTTCGGTTAAGTACGCTCTCAAAAGCTTAGTCTAGTGGAAGAGCGAAAGCTTTGCTAATCGTTGATGGGTAGGGCTTTGTAGGGTTCGGTTTGCAACGGTTTTTTGAAATAAAGGCTTGAAGCATAACAGAAATGGGATAAAAAACTACAAAATTATAAAAAAGGTTTACGTTAAATATCGAGGTTTCTATACGTTCTTCTTTATTTTTTAATGTATCAAAACACGTTTATTTCCTTTGTACTTGCCGAGTTATGATCCCAGCTTTTATAGTAATTCAAAATGTTAATCAGACTAAACTTCGGTTCCAATCGCAAAGAAAACGATCGGGAATTATGAGTCGCAGCTAGGGCAGACACTCTACATTTAGATATATTCGATACTCAGTTAGTACATTGAACAACAAAGAGAGAAAAGGGAGACAAAAAATGAGTTAGCCACTGCAAATTGATTCGTTCCATATGGATAATATAATAATCCGATTTGATACAGTTTCGGCAATCTAGCCATTGTCTACGATTCTGTGTTTTAGTTGAGCTCGTATTTTTAAAATTGTGGATCTCACAGATTTTCGTCGTTTGACTTTATGCGGTCGTAAACGCTTCCTTCTGGACGTTACAGACATATAATATACCGCTATACTCTTTTTGAGTATCGGGTATAAAAACCTGTGCTAACCAAAATAAACCTGTTTATTAACATTTTCACAAATACTCGACTGCACCGTCGTGTTCCTAATCAAAAAATGCGTATTTTAGACATTCCCAATGCATTATCAGCAGCGCAAAGCAGAGATCCCAATGGCTTATTGATAGTACGGGTACTTAGCAAACAAACAAACAAACTAAACTGAGAGGCATTTGTAAACGACAAACAATATGTATAGAAAATCGCACTAAATTCCTTGCAATATGTCACGCCACGCAAAGATTGTTTGCTGTATGCAAATAAAAGTCTGGACAATTGAGAATTGTAAACATTTCAATTGGAAAATATTTACATTAATCATGGATACTCGTACGATGGACACTTCAATTCAATTCAAAGTCCGTTTACACTCACACAAGCTATACTATGGAACCCCAGATACAACTGCACACGACGCCGTTAAAATTCAAACTGAACAAAATTTCTGACCTACCGAGACTTTATAAAAGATTTTTCGAATAGACAACAGCAGCAACAACCAAATAAAAGCCAGCAGCGAAGACGACGAGCGTAGTAGTGCCCGAAGTCGTAATCTTCGTTTACTTTCAAGCAGCCGAAACATTTCGATGGGTAGGTGATAGCGTATTAGAGATAGGTGGGGGGTCGTGTTTGTGCCTGGTGATAGGAAAGTTCATCGTGTTGTTTTTCTATTTCTCAAGATGGGGTCAATATTGCAGGAGAGTATTCGTTTATTCTCAACAAACATGCTTAATATTCCAATCAATTGAAAACCGAAGTTCGCGTAATATATTCTTTAAAGGCATTAAATGTCATGAAATAAACCTAGAAACCGACAAAAGAAATATTAATTACAATCCAATTGAGAATTCATCTACAAAAAAATCTTAGAACTAACATTTAAGGTGATAAAATTGTATTTAATAAATTAATTTCCCATTTTTCTCGATATTTATTTTTTATTTATAAACAGCAGCATGATTGCCTAACCAGATGGTGTTATTTATAGACTATGTATATTCTAGAAATTCTACAATTCATTATGATTTGAGCTGCGCTTGGTGGTGAAATATAAAAGTTTTAATCTAAAATCTCGAATATAATTTCTCACTTTGAAAGTACATATTTCGAAATCTGTGGGTTGGTGATAAGCCAAATTTAATTGCAGATTATGTTTGTATTTGGTTTAAATTTCTAATCAGCTAGATACACAATTAAACTAGAGGGGCTCTTCATATGGGCAACAATTTTGCAAATATTAAACCTGATAATAAATAACTGGTATTTCTCTATAACATATGGGCTCCACTTTGTTCACAATGTTTCAGGTGAAAAAGAAAATATACTCAGATCAATTAGCAAAATTCCAAAAATATCTTCACTTAGGTACTCGTGTCTCTCCTTACCGTTTCGTGTTATATTTTCACTTTTAATTGAGGTGCTACCTTTTGCTGATAATGAATATTTTGCATGTTGAGTGGAGAGTTTACTTTACGAAAATATGGTTTGCAAATAAAAGAATTTTGTATGAATAATTAGTTCCACATTATTTTTATTGCGTAATTATACCGCGCTTTGAATCGAATTTAAGTTTTGAATTTTTCTTATCACGTCAGAGCTTCCTGTTCGGGTCTGTCTCTGAGACAGACAATTGTTTAGAACCCAATTCGGGTGTAATTATAATGCAGTCGAGACGGCAATACAAATGACATGACACTCATATACGAAAATTTGTCCAAACAAACAAATTGCTAATTTCGTGAACAAATTGTTTGTTTAATTCCCCGCAGTACACTGTGTGCGATTCCAGTCACGTTGACTTTGCTGTGGAATTATTTATGCGTTTAGGCAGAATTTTTTAACCGGAGAACAATAGTATATTCTGGCCATCTGTTATTCCTAGAGCTCATTATTTGTTGTAACTCCAAACAAACGAATATTTGCACCCATGAAGAGAAGCAGCGGCAATTCGAAAACAACAAAATGCAAACAGGTGGGAATGCTTTAAGCGCGGATACGACTGTGAGACACCCTGTGTACACATTTATTTTTAGTTCACTACATAGAAAAGTGGCATAAAGGGAGCATAAAATTGGATACAAATCAATTTTCTAACAAATAATCATAATTCGTATTTATGTATTCGCTTCATTATGACATTTTACCCAAAACAAATATACCTCTGCTCTGCCACGAGTACCGTGTACAAAAACAACAGATGATCCCCCAGAGAGCGCAAAAAAGAGCACAAAAGTGTGTGAGAGAGTTATCCAATTCCCATGTATGTGTGAAAGAGAGAGGGGTAACATATTCAGCCATATAGCAGGGCAGATCTCCGCTGGAGCAAAGCCCCAGTGGAGCTCTCAGTGGCGTTTTGACAGTTGCCACAGCCAGTAGTTCGGTCGGAAGTGACCAGATATAATAAGATCACATAGAAACGATAGAGAGACAGAGAAGGAATACAAAGAAAGAGCGGACACAAACAAAGACGGAAAAAACAAACTTTTAATTAATTATAATTAGATAATAATGGATGCTGTGCAGCAGAATACGAACACAAACAACAACAGCAACATCGACAGCGATAAATGCCAGAAGTTAAAGAGATTTGTGATCGTGGGCCTGCTCATCACCATTGGGATCTTGAGTTGGCATTTCTATGGTGAGTCTCTCTCTTGGATGACTCTCTTTGGTCTTAAGAGTAATTTTGTATGCCTCTCTTAGAGTACTTCCAAAGCAAACCGCTGCCCAAGGCTCCCGATGACGTCTTGGCCCTGTCAAAGTCTCTCTATGCGGAGGAGACTGTCGTCAGTCCATATCTGTATAAAGTGAATCTTCAGGGAAAGACCACATCTGGAGCCCGTGATGACAAGGCGCCAAAGAAGTGAGTAATTGAAAGGAACTTTCGCTTGATCTAACTGTTCCTTCCCCATAGTCTCTTTGAGCTCCATCAGGATCTGTTGGCCAGAGATGCCAATTCTACGACAGCTTTACTCCTGCGCCTCTTTGACAACTACGAGCTGGATGTGGCAGCGGCCGAGCATACCACAGCCGAACATGAAGCGGAACAGCATGATTTTCTCAGGGCTGTGATGAATACGCGAGTGATGAAGCTAACGATGAGATTTTTGGTGCACAAAGGTGAGCTGGAAGAGTGCTTACTTGAATACTCTTACAGGAATACGGTCTCTAGATATTGTCACCAGCGATTATGATGATCAGCTGCGTCTCCTGCAGGAGCTATGGTTCACCCCTTACTCCCGGGGACGTGGCATTGTGGGCAGCTCTAGTTTCGAGCACGTCTTCATGGCCGAGCTACGAGATCAGAAGGTGCTGGGCCTCCACAATTGGATCTACTTTGCCGATCAAGAGCAGCGTGGAAATATCGACTACAAGGGCTGGCTCAGCCACTTGGAAATGGGAAAGGTAAGTCCCAGCCTAGGAACTCCCATCGAATAATGATACTGATTCCATCTCGAACTTGCAGCCCAATCAAATCTCCCTGAGTCTGCGTAACACCTTCTATGGCATACAGAAGCCAGTAACCGGCTTCTTTGTTGGCACCTCTCCCGAGCTGGAGATGAGTCTGTACACCGCATGCTTTCTGGCCACCCCAGAGAAGGACCCATGTCACATTCAGTTGGGACATGCCCGAGTCTCGATTGTCTCGCACTCGTGGAACTGGAATGGCAAGCGACTGATAGCCACCGCCTATCCCGACAATCTGCCCTAGAACCGGCCCACACCCAGTGCCTTAAGTCCTCCTTAAGTCAATTAAATTAGTTAAATTCGTGTCTCAGCGCCGCTACCTCATAACTCACATACCTAAAAAAGCATCTAAGATCCAATGTCAAAGTCAAGTTCATTTTATTATCTCACTTTATGAGTGCCGCGGCGTGGGGGCGGGGATCCAAGAAGGTCTCATGACTGTCATTGCCAATTGCCAAACATGTCAGTCAGGCACTGTCAGGCTGTCCATTCTTCAGAAGGTGGCCTTGAAAAGGGCAATATAATGATGGCCAGCACGCCAAAGGAAGTTTTACGGAGGTGTCTAAGACTATCCATCTCTCCATTGAATGTTAAATAATATTAATAATAGTCCAGAAACTTATACTTCTTGCTTTATATAAAAGGGAATTACCAAATCTTAAAGCTCCCAACGATCCTAAAGAAAAACTAACCAAACTACAAGTCTTAGGATGTATAAATCTTCAACTTCCTTCAACATTTAAACACCATTTTAATCTATACTTCGGTGCCATTGTATACTTCTCATAAACATTCTACATTCATCCATATTTCCGATATATCTCCAAGTGTATTTAATGATTCGACCTTCCGATGAAAGCCATTCTGACTTGTCTTAACCTTTCAGTTGTTTTGACAGCTTTGCGTGGGCCGTAAATCATTAAGTTGTTTATTAGTTGTAACATTTATGTTTATTCCTTGACTTGGCAAAGTCAGCCCACCCCAAACCATTGAAAGTAAAGTGAACAGAATGCCTTGCCTTGAATATCCATTAGTTTTAGTCAATTGAAGTGTTTTAGATCAGCCAAAGAAAAGGTGTTAGAGTAGGAGGACCTCGTTTGCAAATGATAGTCCCCTAAGAACATCTTCAGAATATTCAATTTTTATTGCATTTAAAATTATTTGTTGTAATTACAAAAAATATGGAATATTTATGTTTTTGTTAGGCTGGAAAACATATGAGTAGAAGTACGAGTACGTTTTATGATTGAAGAAAGATTCGCTGGAAGAAAACATGGTGCTGCTGTCCCCTATCCTTGGGCATCTAGATGGCGCTCTATGATGACCGTTGCGTTGGCAATGTCCTCCTCCTGTTGTTGCACTATGGCCGGAGCGCTGGACCGACGGGCCGTGATGATGGTGGTCTGGGCGGGCGACACGCTCTCGTCGGAGCCATCAGGCAGCACCACAAAGGTCTCACTTAGATCGGCCAGCTCGGAGCAGGTCTCGTCGTTGGAGGAGCGCATCAGGCTGGGGCTGCTGATCGAGCACTCCAGCAGCAGGGGATCCTCCAGGTCGGGACTCCAGCTACTTCTTGCTGGCGGCTGCCGGGGCAGACTGTTGTGGCAGAGTGGATTTGCTGCCGGCGACTGTGGATCCAGCTCCTGGCCCCACAGCTCCACCGCTCGGGCGCGGTTGTGGTCGGCTCGCGGTGGATACCGCTCCGACTCCTGCTGCTGCTGCTGCAGGGCCGACTCCTGTTGCTGGTGGGGACGTGATCCCCGTGACGGGCGCCGCGGCCAGCGGCGGTGGCGATCGGTTGTAGTCCGTTGCGACTCGCTGAGCAGGCGTCGCAGCTGTTGCCGGATACTGGGGCTGGGCTTGGGGCTGCTGCGATTGGGGCTGTGGCTGCGACTGGTTGGTAGCGGCAGCTGCTGGCGTGGAGTCATACTGGTATCCAGACTGTCCGTAGTCGGCGGCACTGTAATCGTATCCGGCCGTGGCATCCCCGTAGTCGTACTGTTGGCCATCGTAGGGCTGCTGGGCGTAGGCATTCGGATCGTAGGCACTCGCATCATACTGCTGCTGATCGTAGGCACTGTAGTCGGTGTTGTATGCGGCCAGATTGGCGCTGCCGGCATTCGAGATGCTGCTGCTGTCGACGAGAGGCTGTTGTTGCAACTGGGACTGTTGCTGTTGTGGCAGTGACTGTTGCTGCTGTTGCTCTGCTTTCTGCTGCTCTGCCTGTTCCCGTTCCCGCTCACGTTCCCTCTCCCGGTCGCGTTTCTCTCGCTGTTCCCGCAATTGTTGCAACTCTCGATCTCGCTCCTCGCGTTCTCGTTGCCTGTCCTGCTCCTGTTGTTGTTGTTGCTGCTTCTCGCCCAGGCCAAGGTTGTCCTTAAGATTCTCGTCATCGTTATCTTGGAGTCCATAGTCGGAGAGGAGTCCCTTAGTACCGCCGCCGTTGCTGATGCTGCTCTTTCGCGCTCCTGCTGCTGTTGCTGCAACTGCCCCAGCAGCAAGAGTTGCTGTTGTGACTGCTGCAGCTGCAGCTGATCCAGCGGCAGCTGGCTCCCCTCCACCATTGCCAATACCTCCGTCTCCTCCGCTGTAGTCATCGTCGGCGCTGTTGTGTAGTTGTGGGGTGCTTTGTATGGGTTCGATTGTTGTGCCATATGTCGCTGCCTGGTAGTCGTAAGCGGCTGTGTGAGTACAAGAATTTCGATTAGTGTGACCAGCCAATTCAAAATAATAGAGTATCGAGTATCGAAAGTGTGGCAGTGTCAGAGTGTGAAAATGTAGTCTAGACTCCTTTCGTTTCCTCTTCCTGCGCGGCAGTTGTTCCTTCGGTCTCTGACGAATAGAAAATACCTTTTTTGGGATGTGTCTGTCTATGTTTTGGGGGCTCTACTTTGAAGGGGGCTCTGGGATTTACCTTTTCCAGGAACTATGCTAGTATAATCATGTGGTGTGGTATCTAATTTACTCATATGCTCCTCATTGCTTAACATGCGATTGGATAGATATTCTAGATTCGATTGTAAAGCAGATATTTCCTCTCTTCAGGAAAAGTTTAGAAAAGTTAGGTCAAAGAAAGGCATAGATAGACAGAGACAGAAAGGGAGAAAGGAAGAAAGAAAGAGAAACACACACAACCATTAGTCACATACATCAAAACCAACTTTTACCTGCAATTTCTCTAATTTGTGCTCATCTTTCGACTCCTCAGAGCTCTGCTCGGGGGTTCCATTGTGCACTTGTGGCAATTGTGATTTATATTTGGCCCAGATCTGTCTGAGACGTGCCATCAGCTGCTCATTTGTGGCACGTAGCTGTTGCTTCTCCTCGCTAAGGTTAAGCCACAAAAAATTTAAATGAATCAATCAACGAAAAATTAAAATTTAAGAAATAAAACAGATCTAAGATACTTAAATTTAGAGATGATAGATAATGGATGATGTACTTTAGATCTTTAAGATACAGACTGACAGACAGATCCTGACCAAAATGATATATGTATATGCATGTGCTTTAGGATCGTTATCGATTCATTCTTTGTGCTAAATGTATACCTTAAACTTATGACTATATTATGAATTCAAAGCACTATCAAAGTTTGGTGGCCTGCTCTTGCTCCTCATCGTCCTCATCCTGCTCCTCCTCAACCACATTCCTATCCTCTTCCTCCTCCAGCTCCTTCAGCTGCTTGTCGATCTGGGCCAACTCCGGGGAGGGCGTCTCCTTGACAAAAGTCTCGTTGAGGGCCTGCGCCACTTCATTCAACTCCTTGACGAATGTCTCATTCAGCGAAGGACTGACTTTGGGTCGCGCCTGCTTGGGCACCAGTCGCACATTAACATCTACTTTGACTGGTGGTCGGGGCTTCTTGTGACAGCCATCGCGTTGCAGCAACTGCTCGAAATATAGCTTGGGCTTGATGCTGGCACTCAAGGAATTGCTGCCCTGACCTCTGCAGGCTGTTGATGTTGCCGCTGTTGATGAGTCCGCAGTTGCGGCCAGAGTATCAGTGTCCACCGTCAAATGCTGCGTTTGACATGGGGCCTGACAGGGACTGGCACTGCTACTGCTGATGGTCTGATTCAAAACAAGATGCTGTTGCAACCAAGGCAACGGCTCCGTTTTGCATGGATGACAGCAGCCCGCCGACTGCTGTTGATGCTGCTGCTCTCGCACTGTCGACGATGATATTGTTGCAGGCTCGGTGGTGCGATGTTGGTGGTGCTCGTGATGCGTGGTGTGAAGGTGATGGTGGTGCGTCGTGTCTAGGGTGTACTCGTGGCCGTGACAATGCATGCTCTTGCTGTGTGTAGTTTGTGTACGCGCTTTCGCTGATGTTGCAGATGGGGCTGCCGATGTTGCCGATGAAGCTGTAGATGTTGCTGCTGGCCTACTGCTGCTGCTGCTGTTGCGCCTGCGCATTGCTGGCATCGCAAAAATGTGCTCATGTTCGTGCCTGTGTCGCATAAAACTGGGGCAAAAACATTTTGGCTTGGAGCCCAATGTCGATGTTGCTGTTGTCGTTGATGTTGCTGTTGCTGTCTCTGCTTTGCCTCTTTCCGCTTTAAAGTTGCTTCCAGCTCTGGCCTTCTTATAGCTGGATAACTTTGGCAGCGGTGGCATTTTGGCCAGCTCCTGGGCCAGGCGTTCGTTGCTTCTGATTATATTCTGCAGGATCTCATCGCCTTCGAGAGCAGCAGCAACATCAGCAACATCTTCTGGCATGGGGCTCGTAACATCTGGATTTGGGATTTCCAAATCAGGGATCTGCAAAATGAACTCGTTTGCGTTTTCTCTGATTGTTGTAGGCGCTGTTGTGGCTGTGGTTGCTGTTGTTGTTGTGGTCATGGGCACGTTTGTGGTTGTTGCTGGCATCACACGATCGCAAATTGGTTCTAATTATCGTGAAAATTGCGCAGGCAGCCCAAAAGAAAAGGTTTGAAGAAGTACAAGTACAGGCGTGTTAATCCAGTCTCTAGGTAGGTCGAACATTTTTCTATTGTTTTTGCTTTTTGTGTGGAGCGAATCTCAAATAAAGGAAATGGTGAGAGAGAAACTTTGGGTTGGCCTTGAATTTCAGATTGCGCTGTGCGGTGGTTTCCATATCTTAGAGTTATTTTTCTATCAAATATCCATATACAATTACATTAAAGTGGCATTATAATTAAAACGAGGTGGAACAACTAAATGAAACTGCAATATTTATAGTAAAAAATGCTTATGCTTTCATTTAAAAAACATTTCATTAAAATCCCTCAGATAGAAGTCGAGTTACTTAAGGTTAGCTAGGAATAATGGTAAATGGAAGCAGGCAATGAATATAAAAACTAAGTTGCATGTGTTCTAGGACTAAAATGATTGCAGTTTCTTATAGCATAGCATAGGTACATAATGGGATCATAATTACTTGTGCTTGTACGTTGTATCCTCTAATTTGCCCGTTAGGGTTTTACACTCGCCCGTCAGTTTATCCATGAGTTGCTTCTGAGATGTTATCATTTCCTCAAGCTCATTTACCGTATCCGCTACAAACAGATATTATACGGTTTAGTGGATATCTTCAGAAATACTACATACATATATAGGATGTTATGGAAATATAATATGCCAACGCGCTACAGAACAGAAACTCATGGATAAACTATTGAACTTTTCTGTATGACTATCATTTTCAGATCGAATTTGTATCTTTGGGGATTGTTTTTCCTTTTGCTTTAGAATGAAACCAACGCACGCTAACGATATGAGCATCAATAGCTTAACCAGAGTTTATATAGGGTGATAGAGGTTGTGTATAGGATAGTGATACAATAGGTGAGAGAAGAAGGAATCTACTAATAAGAGAACATACCATGCTTATCCTGCATTTCCGAGATCCGCTTGTCCAAATCTTTTTTGGTGGGTCGTATTTCGTTCTTCAGTTCGCCATAGGCTAGCTAAGGGTTTGACCTGTTCAGTATATGATCCGTATAGTGATCCTAAGCCACTTACCTCCTTCTCCAGATTGGCTATCTCATCGTTGAGTCGCAAAACCTCCCGCTTCGAGTGCAGCAGATCCGCATCCCCGCGATCCAAGCGCTGACGCAGAGAATTGATCTCCGCCTGGAGGCGAGCCGCCTCTGTTTTGGTCTCCCGGGCAGCCCGATCCAACTGGAGACGCAGCGAAGTGATCTCCTGTTCGAGGGACTGTTTCTCTGCATTAGAGGTAGCCATGTCCGCCAGGAAGTTGGTGCGATTGGCCCTCAGTTCGTTCTTCAGCTCCTCGATCTGCGAGTTGCGATTGGTGACGTCCCGCTTTAGGTCGGTCTCGTACCGCTTCTGGCGCTCCAGCTCCAGCTGCAGCTTGGTCACCTGCTCCCACTGGCTGCTCAGATCGCCACCCAGCTGGTCTACTTGGGTATTGTAGCGCCTCTCTGCGCTGGCCCGCTCCTCGGCCAAGCGACGGGCCATTTCGTGTTGCAGCTCCCGGACACGCTCGTGCTGACGATCCAGCTCGTCGCGCAGGTGACGCACCTCCAGCTCGGCCTGAGAGCGTTCCATCTGCACCAGATCGCTGATGTATCGCTTGGAGGTGGTGTTGCCCTGGCTTTGGGCCTTGGCGTCGTCCAGCATGCGCTGCAAGTGGCGCACAGTCTCCTCCAGCGTGAGCTTGTCCTGCTGCAGGCAGTCCAGCTGCTTGCGATGGGTTTCACAGTTGCCACCGCCAAAAGTGGCCACCGTCGTGATGGGATCCGTGTGGGCCAGCTTCCGCTTGAGATCCTCGTTCTCAGTCCTCACGCGCTTCAGGTCGATGTTGGCCTGCATCAGCTCTGCCTCCAGTTCGCTAATGCGAGCCTCGTACACGATATTGGGGGCACTAGCATACCGCGGAGACTGCACCTTGAGGTTGCCCTTCCTTGGGGTGGTCGGAGTTTTACGGCCGCTGCCATATATCAGGTGCTCATCGCTGTCGGATGACGGACTGGTCGTGACCGCAGTTTGGGCCATACCCGACTTTCCAGAACCCATATTTGCCAGCTCCGAGCGTGCATTCTCCGTGATCTGTTCATTCTCGTTGATCACATCCTTCACCTTGCCCAAGAGATTGGTCAGCTCGTTGCGACAGTACTTCGACTCCTTCTCCAGCTGCTCGATGTAGTCCTCCTGCTTCTCAATGAAGCTGAAAATCTCCACCGGGGCCTGGACACTGTCCGTGGCCAGTGGGGGAGGAGGTTGAGCAGGTTGAGGGACACTGCTGCCCGTATAGAGCGCCGCCATGGAGGACAAGTTCTCCTTGGAGACGGACATGCCATAGCCCATAGGTTGCATGCCATAAGTTTTCTTGGGACGGTACGAGCTCATCCGAGACTTCTGGCTGGGCGACAAGTACTTGGAAATGTCCGAAAAAACCGGACGCTCAATCACCTAATAAAATAATATTGAAGTCACGAATATTTTCGTCCCTTTTAGGTCTACCTCTCACCGATAGATTATCCGAAAAATTGTCCCCGGAATCCTCATTGAAGTTTCGCAGATATGCGGCTGCACTGCCACCGACCTTGGGTGGGGTATAGGAGTTGTCGGCCAGCATTACCTTGAGACGTCCCACAGCCTCATTGTAGGCGTAATTGGTGTAATCCATGGTCTTGGTCTTCTTGGTAATGCCCCCCTTCGAGGACTTCATCGAGAAGTTTCTAAAGTTGTCAACGAAAAGCGGAAACCGTATGCTTAAATGTCTCCCATCAAAGATCACATTTTAATTGAAGTTCTTTATTAATTTTTTGGAAGGAAAATGACTAGAACACGGAGTTGCTCGGCAACTGAAACTTAAATTGAAACTGAAACCGAAACCGAAAGCAGAAACAGAAACAGAAAACTGAGGCTGTCGTCCACATTGGGGTGACAATTGGAGTTGTAGTGTCAGTCGTTGCCAGGACAACAGGTTGGCCAACATACAAATGTTGCAGGTTTTTAACCCTGCTCCTTTTCTGGACGTGTGTTCATGCGTCATGGTTGAGCCAACATATTTGTGGGGGTGGTTAAATCCTTGCTACCCTGAATGCTTATAAGAAGAACTCCTGGCAGGAAAACCCCGTAGATCTAGGCGGCAACGAATGGGAATACTTGACTCAAAGAATTCAATAATCATGTACAAATGATTACCATCTAATGTACATCCTATTTTGAATAATCCCAAGAAAATTAAATGCCTAAAAAGCTTTGTACTACTAGAAGTAGTAGCTCTTTCTTTAGCTATAAAATTGCATATATGATGTCTGGAAATCAAAGACATATCCCGCTTTAAAGAGTACAAAGTTAAATCACTGCTGAAATTACCTCGATCGCCTCCTAATCCTGCCACCAGCACTGCTGCCACTGGCGACGCTCTCCCTGTCCGAGTACCCAGAGATGCGGTGCTGCTGGGTGAGATGACGCAGGTCGTCAGTTGTCAGGTGGTGGTGGCCTGTTCCGTGGCTGTTACCGATGCCACTCGCTTGCGGTTGGTTCTGCGAGTGAGTCCGAGTACTTTTCAAATTGTACAAAGGAGCGCCGTACTTGAAGAAGTTTTCTGTTTTCATTTTACCAACATCGGGGTTGGAGGCAGGAGCACAAGAACGGTTTGGGGCAGAGACACAAGAACAGGGGACTGGGTTGGGCTGAAAACTTTGTTGCAAGTTGCAACTGCTGGCATGCAACTTGAAGGGAGGCAGGGAGCGAGGGGGAAACACTTGTGGTATGCACTTCCTTCCGCCTTGCGGTCTGCACTTTAATTGTTTCTTTGAGTGAGCGACAGGCCAGGACGACAGGACGACAACGCGTTGAAGTTGCACTGAAACGGCGGCAAACACAAGTCAGGGCTTTTATAGACTCGGCACCAAGAGAGGGGCGGGGGGGAGGAGGGGGCCCCAGATATAGTTTAGTGTGCTTCCATAATGTGTTTGGTGCCATGTCGTGCCCTGTCAGGAGTCAGAGTTTGCCTCAGAGAGAGAAAGAGAGATTCCAAAACATTCCCATTAGCATTTTGCCTTTGCTGCAATGCAATTGTCGTCATGGGAGACGGCCGTCCCTTCCGAAAGGGGACCGGGATTGGGTGATGAAAGTTGAGGAATCTTTTGGGCATTGGCGCCTCTGGTTTTGGTTTTGGTTTCGGATTTTGTCTCTGTCTCTGTTTGATCGATACCAAATGGGGGAACTCCTCAATGTATTGAAAGCACGCTCATTTGTGCCAATACATGTCCATATATACATAGTGGCAGACCCTCTCTTCGGTCCCTTTTCCCATCTTCTGCATTGGGTTGTTCAACTCTCTTTCTGTACTCTAAAGGAATTGAGGCCAAAAACGTTTTTCATTGCCTATTTTAAGGGTTTCTATCTTGGGCTTGTTTGCTGTTATAATATTCGTATAATAAAAGGTTTGGGTATTGCCTTACTTACTGCCTCGTACCCTTATCCCTTATCTTCTGCGGAACTTAATTAATAACTTACGAGCATAACAAGGTCAGAAAGTCTCAATGACATTTCAATTAAGTGAAGGGCAAGTGAAACAAGTAGAGGTTTTGGGAGCTTAAGAAAGTATTAAGATTTGGAAAAGGAGACTCTATAGACTAGAAAAGAGAATATAGTAGAACCTGGTAGATATCCGGAATCAGGGGAATCAGGGAGGGGAGGCTGTCTCTGTCCACTGTATGCACCTTCTGGAATTCCCCCCGCATTTTGAAGACTATTAAATTTCAGAGTTTTGTTGCCACAGGCCTTGGGCTCTGGCCGGCCACATGTGGAATCCACCTAGACCTGCCAACAATTGATTGTCGATGTACCATAACTTATGGCCAAATCACAGGCATTTAATAGCTCAAATAACTCAAGATCAGGAGCTATTCCCTCGCCAGCAACACAGCACACAACGGATCCGAGCCGAACCCCAAGTGCAGCCACACAATCAATCAATGCAATCTCTGTTATCATGAATAATTTCCCATCGGGCAAATGCACAGCAGCCGCAGCAGCGGCAGAGAAAAATAAAAACCCTTTTGGCCAAAATAAAAGAAACAAGTAAGAATGATTTCATTACCATATTTCGACTATGGGATACCTCATGCTATAGTGGGGAGAATTTGAAATGGCATTTTCACAGATTAAAGATATAAAAGGAGTCAGTGGCAGATCTATGGATCTATTCACCTGGGGTACATAGAAAACTGTATTAATATCTTATAAAATATTCAAGATCTAAGCGTTGAGATATCAATCTTATTAAGGCGGATCGTCTGTTGATCCTGTAATGTATAGTTCTCAAATCCCTCCCATCTGCCCGTTGCATACTCCTTTTGGAATACAATATACCCCATACCTTCAGTTCGACTACCGGGTATTGAAAAAACCCTTTTGGCCAAAAAGAATACAATTTTCCTCTACACTTGGGAGCCCTTTTTCCCCCCCTATACATTATCAGCTTCTTGCGATTTAATTACCCGGACTAGGGAAAACAGAGGAACAACATACGGTAGTAGGAACCACAACACATCCCAGAAAAATTAACCCTCTGAGATAAAGGCATAATTCCGTGTGTTCAGAAATCTGCAAGACAATTCATAAGCATAGCCTGCCTGCCTGCAAGAGTGTGTATTACGAGTGCTGGTGTGATGTAGTGTGTGTGTGTGTGTGTGTGTGTTATCGATCGTGGTCAAGAGCAGCAGCGCGCAAGAGACCCGAACCATGTCCAGTCCCCAATCCCAAGCTGGAAGCCCTCGGGGCGCTCTCAGCAATTTTCATTGCTGCCGTTGCTCCAGCTCCAGCTCCAGCACTTCTCGGTCTCTGGTCTCTGGTCTCTGGTCCCTGGCTGTGGCTCTGATCGTTGTCGCGATCTGTTGGCCTGGCCTGGACCCGGCCTGGGTCTTCGACTTGCTCTGATTCTGTGGCCAACAACAATGTCGCCAGGGCCGTTTGAGTCGCTGGGGCTGCTGCCGCCGCTGCAGTTTCAGCTGCAGTCGCTGCTGCTGCTTCAGCTGGCGTTGCCGCAGCTATTTACAACACTGCATTCCTGTGCCGCAGTCATTCAAGAAGCCAAGAAGCTGAAGCCGAGGCTCGGGCTCTGGCTCTGGCTCTGGCTGTGGCTGTGGCTGAGCCGAAGTCTGAAGCTGAACTTGTTTCATGCCACATTTCGGCTTAGTGTGTGCTCTAGCTCTCTCTTTCTCTCTTTGCAGCACCGCTCTCTCCCTCCCTCTCTCATAAATGCTGTAATACGCTCGAAACATGTTTATGAAAAGAAAGAAATTCCATTGCAAACAAAAGAGGGGGAAGAAGAAGGAAGACTGGGGAATGAAACGGCAGAGGGCGAGGGAGAGGCGTGCGCTGCGCATGCGCGCATGTAATCCAGCTCACACACACGCACACACACACACACAGCAGAACGTGCTCTTAGTGGAAATATTTTTATGAGCAGGGGAGCTCCGCTCTCTCGGCTTACGCTCTTCTGGTTTGCCTTTAAAGTACCTTTCAAGGGGTTCTCCCACAAGGTGAGGCCTTGCCAGAGAGAGCTCTCCCGTATTTGGTTTCAGTTGAGTGTGTGTATGAGAGCGGCAGTCGAATATCAGCAACAGGTTTGCTCTCACCTTGTAATCATACACCTTGACTATCTCTCTCTTCTCACGCTCTCTTTCTGTATGCCAGTTTAGCCCAAAGGCATGCGGTGGGTCTTTAGTTATGCCATGGTGGAAATGGCTTTTGCGATCTCCAGCAGCCCACAAAAGCTAAATAAAAGTAGCACAGCATAGAGGCAAGGCATATCATAAGAGAGGGAAAGAGTGAATGTAACGTGCAAGGTGAAATGGCTTTAGCAATTGGTGGTGACGAATGATTTTCAAATAAAGAAGGTGGGAATTGTCCTCCAAATAAATAGTACACAAAAAATAATGTTTATAATATATATTTTATTATAGTGAGTAGTAATTTTGAATTCACCTTAAAATCTCAAATAATTTCGTTGTATTTGGCTATTTAATCAAATTTCGGTCATATACACGTTCAGATGAATATTGAAGAATTATGTACTTAATTATTCTACAATTATGAAACATATTTAATTGACTAACATAATATATTTATTATCCCAGTACATGTATTATTCTCGAAATCAATTTTATTTTGAAAACCCACCAAGTTCGTTGCTTGAATCTTTTGTTTTTGCGGCTGGCAATGCTGCTCTGCCGAATTGGTGGGTTTCCAAGAGAGCGAACCTGGCTGCCTCTCTTGGCGTACGCTCTGACTGCGATCTGCGCGGATGCCGTGGTCGCTCTTGCCACTCACCATTTACCTGTCGTCGTGCGCTGTTCCAATCCGACCGTGTCCGCAGCGGATGAAACTGAATCTTGAGGCGCCGCATTTCGTTGCGTGCCGCCTGCCTGCCTTCGTGCCTGTGCCTATGCCTGTGTCAGTGTCAGTGTCTGTGCCAGTGTGAGTGAAGTGAGCGCAAAATAGAAGAAGAAGGCGAAAGATAACAGCAAAAGCAAAGCCAAAAGAGCCACACAGTGAAAGATCGAAAGAAAATAAAGCAGAGAGAAAATTGTTGTTGTGGAATAACCAAAAAAAAGATAAAACGAAAACCAAACAAAAAGCAAGAATAAAAGAGAAAAAAAGCGAAATTAAATGGAAATTCAATGAGGAAGCTGCAAAAACTGCCAGATAAACAAAAAGGAAGGAGAAGCGTTGCATAAATGAGCACCCAAAGGGAGTTACCTGTATAATCATCAAAAAGGTAGAGAGGAGGAGAGGACAGACACAGATCACAACTTATTAAATTGCAATTCCCCCAATCAGGTTTTTCGCTCTCTCTCGCTCTCTCTCTCTCTTTCCTTCCATCATTATTTATGCCCCCGTCGCCTTCTGCCGTTGTGTGGCTTCATGCAAAAGAGTGCCCCTCCCCAGGGTTCTTAGTGTTTCTCCTTTATTATTATGAATATTGCATGATCGTAAAACGTTAATGAAATTATTCGTACATTTAAAGCGAGTATTCAACCCGATAGGCCGACACCTCACCTCGGATTCCGATTCGATGGAAAACCCTCGGTTTTCGAACAATCCGGAACCCCTCGAACCAGTTGCAAAAGTTGTCACATTAAAATCACACCTTTGAAGATATATATTTATTGTTGTTGCTGTTGTTGCTGTTGTTGTTGTTTTTGCAGTTGTTGCATGCACCACTTTGGCCCGTAACTCGTTCGCGCTCTCTCGCATACGCACATAGTCCACACACACACAGTGCGAGAGAGGGAGAGAGCGAGATGCGGGCACACACAGATACAGATAGACACATATGAGATGCAGGTACATATGTACTCCTTCTCTGGGCTGCTGCATGCAAATTATAGTAGTCGAGAGTCAAGGAAGTTGGCCGAAAGAGGCTCTGGCTCTGGCTTTGGCTCTGTCTCTGGCTTTGGTTGTGGCACCACTGGCCATTACCCCAACCAGAAGTTGCAGCAACGGATATGTTTATGGCCAAATGATTGAATCTCATGCCTGTCTTATAACATAACAGCAGCTATCCATCTATCTATCTATCAATCTATTAGTTGCCAATTAT